GGGAGGGTGTATTGGATGTAAAAAGTGATTGGTGTGGCAGTGCAGAAAGGAGAGGCCCAAATGCCTGGCTCTAAGGAGTCACTACTGCTGTAAAATATGGATGAAGCAGAAAGAAATATATTGGTAACACATTTTATTTATTTATTTATTTATTTTTCGATTTATATCCTGCCTTTTTCTTACCAAGGGCTCAAGGCAGCTTACATCATTCTCCTCCTTCATCTTATCCCCACAACAACAACCCTGTGAGGTAGGTTGGGCTGAGAGTCTCATTCATCAGGAGGAATGAATTGGACTGTATTCTTACCACCCAATCATGGCCAAGAATGCCATGATTCCTTCAGCTCTCCCAGACTTCATGCACCCATCTCAGTCCAGGACCAGGGCTGAGTCCTTCACCCAGATGTTGGGCCTCTACACTTCACGGCCTGGACGATTGCCCCCTGAAGTGGGGGCTGAGCACCACTAGCACCAGAGGTGTTGTCCATACTGTGTCATCCACAAGGAGGTCCTACTAGGCAAAGTGGAATGCCTTGATGACCTTCACATGGCAGGAAGGTTGCCACTCATTGAACATATCCTGCAGATCCATATCGAGCAAGACCTCACTCCCTTGTCAATCTGAGTATACCTGATGGCCATCTCCTTCTTTCACCCAGAAATCTATGGTGCATCAGCCTTTATATGCTCATTGGTACCTAGGTTCCTAAGGGGACTGAAACCTCCCTCCTCCCCTCAGCCCTACACTGCGACATGGGGCCTATTGGTGTTGCTACATGCCCTCACCAAAAAAACCCCTTGAGCCCCCGGCTACAACTGATCAGCAACTCTTATCCTGGAAGGTGGCCTTCCAAGTGGCCATCACATTGGCTTGGCATGCCAATGAGCTCTGTGCCCTCTGGGGCAACCCACCATGCCTAACCTTCCATAGAGACCATACCATCCTTCACCTGGACCCCGCCTTCCTACCTCAAGTCATCTTTTCATCTTGGTCAGAACATCATCCTCCCTGTCATCGTCTCCACCCCATCCACTCCAGTAGAGTCCATCCTGCACCTGCTCTACATCAGGAAGGCCCTTGCCTTCTACAAAGCCAGAACCAAACCATTCCACCACTCCCCCAGACTGTTCATGTGCTATGACATGCAGGAAAAAGACTTTCTCTCTTCACAGAGACTATCCCATTGGGTTTCAAACTGCCTGGCATACAAGATGGCATCCTCCATCTTGATACATAACTAAGGGCCTACTCCATGCAAGTCCTGGCCATTGCCACAGCCTTCCTTGCTGGGATCCCTCTGCAAGACGTCTGCAGAGTGGCCACAACATTAGTCAGGCACTACTGGCTGGACATTGTGCAAGGGCAGACTGCTCCTTCAGCAAGAAATTTGTCTCCTCTGTCCATCAGTGTTGACAGCATCCCTTCATCTTTTGCATTGGAGGCTACCTAATTACCTATATATGTGATGGACAGAGATCATGAAGAAAAAAGGCAGGTTGCTTACCTGTAACTTATTCTTTGAGTAGTCATCTGTGCATTCACACAGCCCATTCTCTGGCCCCACTTGCTGTCATCCCCTCAACTATTGCCCTTATTCTCCTGGGATGCTTGGGCCGAGACTGGGTCAATATTACTTTATCCTTCCTCTCCTCAGTCCAGAGATGCATGGCAGTCTCATTGGGAACTGGGGGCATGGGCAAGAACCCATCCTCTCACTTCGTGGGAACAGGAAGGGGATGGCTCCCACACAAAATGAATGCTTAGCTATAGATGTTTCCCAACAGCAGGCTCTGTGTAGGTGCAAAGCCCATATGTGTGAATGCACAGAGGACCCTTCAACAAGTTATAGGTAAGCAACCTTCGTTTATGTGCCCACAAGTCCAGCATTTTTTGGTTTTATAATAATAGTTTCACATGTAAGAAATTTAAGGCCAGTGATTGTTTGCTTCAGTGCATACAGATTTAGTGATTTGTGACCAGAATTTCAATCCTAAATTCAGTTTTGATTATCAAAGAAGTAAAGTTGTGTGGACACTTGTGACCAGATGCATGATCAAACAGTGGCCAGTGGTAGTTTCTTCTAGTATATAACACTGTTTGCCTAAATGCCTATGTTATTTGGATGCTGAGTAATTCATGATGAATAGAACTTCTCAACAGATGTGTCTTTCTAATAGACCTGAGTCTGCAGTTGATCAGATAACCAACTTGCTTGGGACCTTGAGAGGTAGCTTGAGAACTCAAAGGGACTATCACTACTGATTCTAGAAAAAGAGGCACATGGCATCACTGTGGTTGACATAATGACAGAAAATCACAGGAACAATTTTCTTCATGTAGCCATTTTGTCTGTCCCACTCCTGCAGTTGTAGAATCTGATGATTATGCATATGTCTGTGAGACCTACGGTGGTTCCAGTGTCTGTGAGATTTGTTGTTACAGGTAATTCATGTTAATTATAGTTACACTTACAAAACTTTTATAATGTTATATTTGTTAACGGAATGATATTTTGTTTTATGTTTAAAAAAACTCTGGCGCCAGACCCCACACGTGGTTCTCAAAGGTTTACTTTACATTCTGGGATATTATTGACTCCTATTATTTATATGTAACTAGATTGTTTTCCTAGAAAAGGCAGAGTCTCAGTGAAAACACAATTCGTTTAAGTTAGAAATAGTGACATGCTTAATTCTTCTTCAGCTATTTTACTTGAATGACTTTCTTTAGGTATATTTGATTGTGAAACAGGGCTGATACCTGACAGTTATTCTACCAATGGTTAGAAAATAGCTGGAAAAATAATCCACAGTTGTTTGTGGTTGTTCACTTTTCTCAACTCTTGGTAAAGGACAGTAGAAGTTGTTGTAGTTTTTGAAATGTTATATTCCTGAAATACTTCTTTAAAGTAAAGCCAAAGTGATATTTTATCAGTTATGACCTGTCATCATTATGATAAATATAATAATACTTGCACTTGCTGAAATGTTCCCTAAGCATTTTCTTGAGATCACATTTAGTGTTAGATCCATACACAAGTGTTTCCATTCCCTTTCCGTCTTTTATCCACTAGATTAATATATTTGGCCTTCTTTATTTACTTAAGTATTTAATGAACATGTTGGATAGTACCAGACTTGGGAATTTCTGCCTAATGTATACAATACCTGTTCTGCTGCTGCTGCTGATGATGATTCTTTATTTCTTTTCGTGTGTGGATTTTGCCCAAGTAACTACATGTTTGTAATGTGGTTGCTCCTCTTAGTCCATTCTGTCAACCTCTTTAAAGTGAGGTAAGGTGAAAAGCTGAAATTCTGAACCATTTACTTTTGTTGAGTTAAGGAATCCAGGCTAGCCTGCCTTGATAGTTCTTAATGAAGGCACATTTGCTGCTAGTAATTACTCCCTTTCCCTCTAGGTGCCAACAGAGACTTGCACTTTTTAAATGCGCCATCGCACTCCCCTGCCAACATCTCCTTGCTGTGTCATCTCACCAGCCAAATCATCCATGGCAGTGGGCAAGTGAAAAGGGTCTTTGATGAGCTCAGGCAGTGAGCTGGGTGATCTGGATGAACGTAACTTCATCAAGTTCTTCAAGTAACTTGAGCCCAAACCCTCTAAGGCTTGGAAACACACTGGTAGATAATGTAGCTGGTGCAGTATCGGTGCCATAGGAGCAACCTGCACAGCCCCAGGCAATATCCAGATGGCTGCATTCTATACAATTCTGCATTTCTTATCACTTATAGCTGGGTGAACAGTATATAAAAGCTGTTAATAAATAAAATAAAAACATTTCTGAACCATTTCAATGGCAGCCCTGGACAGAGTGCATTACACTCTGTTCTGGGTGTCACAAGAGCATGAATGACCAAGGAAAGATTTTCCATCTCCAGATAGGATTGAAATTAGCATACAGGCCTGTGCTGGCAAGATGTACTCTTGGCTTAAGGGCCCCCAGTTAGCACCAGGTTCAGGAATACATACAAACTGTGTACTTGGTCCTTCAGTAGGAGTGCAACCCCATCTGAGATTGGATGCATTCCTCTGTCCAGTTTAGCTTCCTTACCAACAATGTCTCCTCTTCATTTAGATTAAGTCTCAGCTTGTTTGCCCTCATTTGTTCCAGAACTATCTCCCAGCTTCAGTTCAGGAATATTGGGTATTTTCATTGCTGCTTGAGATACATAGACACGTAAATATAGGTATAGATGTAAGCATTAAAGTAACTTTTTAACATATAGCAACCAATGAGTATGTTTACTCATTATGTTCAAGTCTAGTGACCTATGGTATGGTCACCTCTTTGAATCTGATGATGTTGAAATCAGTATTCAACAGGCCATCTACCCTATCAGACTGCCCTCAGTCTAAGACGTCTTTGGGTCCAGATAGATACTGGTTGGTCCCTTGCTTTTCTTTTTGCTACTTGACTACATGTTTTCTGTTCTGGCAGATACTTGATTTTTTGGTTTGAAAACAGGAAAAAGCCTGTAAATCTTGTGTTCAAAATATTTGCTTTGTGTCCCTGGAGAAAGTTGCAACATAAATGTGACTTGTTTGCAAGTAAACTTGATGGGATCAGGCTGTTAGAGATTCCTGCCCCATGGTTTCTGGAAAATCCAAAATAGTATGCTTGCAGCATATCTATTGTAAATGAACAGGTTTGTAGATTGTAATTTTAAATGAGCTTTAGAAGAAATCCTATTACACAGAACTAAGCCTTATTGTTTGAAATGAAGCTTACTCACAGGTACGTGTATATAGGATTGTAACCTTAATGTGAAGAAATTGTTTTTTGTTTTTCCTGTATTGCGTGCCAGGCTTTATATTTTGGATGAATTTGGGCAGCACAGATTCCTCAGTACACTCTAATCTCCCAAGAATTTAAGAAAATGCTTGCATGCCTGTGGTATGGTCATTGTCAACTCTTAACTATGATCATCCCAATTCTTAGAAAAATGAAAACCCAAATATATTATTTTGGTTGTTTTTACAGATCATCTGTGATATGGAAGCCCAGATCCATGCACTGAGGGAAGAGCTAATTCAAGTGAATACTCAGAGAAAACAGCAGCTGGTTGAACTTAGCCTTCTTAGAGAAGAGGAAAAGCAAAGAGCTGTTCGAGACCATGAGACTGCAATGAATAAGCTGAAAGCGGAATCGGAGAAAAGGATGCTAGACCTGAAAAAGATGAATGCTGCAGAAAAGGAAATGGCATTGGAAAAGGTAAGGGCAAAAGCACAACTACTGACTAGGGTGTTGCAAGGAATATGATCAATGAAACTGAAGTTGCATATGCTTTTTTTTAGAAGCATGTGATATACTAGTGCTTTCATATGCACATCTTTCCTGTTCTGCTTCCATGCGTCTTAGTATTACATGGCATTTACACTGGCAGGGAGTTCAGCAAGAGTATTCACTTCTAGCCTCATCCATCAGATAGCAATGCTCTGCCATTTCAAGGTAATGTCCTTAGTTCTTAAGAACTGTTTTTCCAGGCAGAGGCCATTCCTCACTTCAGGGACAACATTTTCTTTGGTGGAAGATATGGCCAAAGTCTCCCCAAAATAGTTCTGTCTCCTATGCAACAAAGAGACCTTCCTAAGAATTTTCCTGAGCTTCTGTTCCAATGACTTTAAAAAAAGTTGCTTCTTCCCCTCTTTTGAGGCCAAAGCCACAGAGAAAGGAATGGGAGTCCCACCTGCTGGAAACTACTGTTTCTTACCACAGGGACAAGACTAAACTACCAACATTATGGAAAGGTACTTCATTCCAATCAACTTTCCCCTTTCGTCCGCACCCCACCAGCAGGAGAAATGAAGCAACAAAAAAGGACTTTGCAGCTTGTTCTCTGACATAATGCCCAATTCTTCCCGTAGGATTGAAACCAGGTCTTTTAGGGATTTAGGTGGGGCACAAGGGAGTAGTTGGACAGGGGTATATGCTTATGGAATCTGTATACATCCTTGTCTATTCTACTCTTCTTTGCCATTCTTTAAATCCCTCTTTTCAGATAAAATCTTACTTTTGATGTGTGCCTGAAGCAAGTTGCAGCAAAAAGGTAATGTACAGTTTTCCACCTTCCTTAGCACCTTGAGTCCTGGAAACAGGTGGAAAAGTGTTGAATGTACAAAACTTTGAGGATCTCACTGCAAAGGAAGGAAGAAAATAGCTTATTCCCTTTCACAAACAAAATTAACTTCTCCTTGGACAGCTGTTACATGAAATCAAAGTAGCAGCAGTAAGTAGTTCTTGTTTTTAAAGATTGGAGCCTCTGGGAACAGTGCCCAATGCTCTGTCCTGCACTTTGTCAATAGATAACCCAGAACATTGCTTACACAAGACTTTGTATTTCAGACCCATGGAGGTGGTGTGCACCTTCTCACTCGTAGAAGTCTGATTATTTTGTTTAAATGAAAAAAAAATAAGCACATTTGGGAAGTAAAATCAGTTTTAAAGGGAGTGACCAATCAGTAGCAGCCACTTGGGAACTGCAAAGGGGCTGATACCTCTGTGGTATGGACAACATTGTTAAGTGCAGCAAGGGGGGTGTTTTTGCCATTTATACTTCACACCTTTCTTATTTCTTCCTTTTATCCATTGGACATCCAGGATCAGATGACAGTTAGGTGTGGGAAAGCAACCCCTCTGACAGTCCACAGGTTCTCACGATGGGTAAAATAGGCTGGGTTTGAATTATACAACAAACAAACATTTCTAATTGCCCATGATGCTTTGTTGTGCCATGCAAAGCAAGTGAATATATACAGTAAATAAACCAGAAACATCCTAATTTTATTCTTATTTTATGTAATAAGTTGTAACATAATAATATAATCCAAGAAATTACAGAATAAATGTGGTTTTTTGCTGTGATTGATGTAGCACAGCTTCCCATTGGTGCGTTTTCCAAGGAACTGGAGTTTGGACAGCTGGCAAACACAGGTTCCTTGTTTTTTTAAGCCCAACTAATGAATAAAAAAGTAAATAATACTGTTCCCCCACCACCCAGGAGATCAATAATACCTTCATTTTAATTCCTATATTATAACAATTAATAATATATAATATACTTCAATTATATCCGTATCCCCTCAAAAAATAACCATATAATCTTGATTAGGCTTACAACCTTTACCTTCTATCAATGCTGCTTTTACAAAATCTTCCCAAATTTCATAATATTTATTTGCTTTTATTAACCCTTTTTAATGTTTATTTCTGTTGTCAGTTTATCATTAATTACCATATTCCATATTTCATTATACTATTCATGCCTTTGCATAACCCAATTCTGTTTCCAATATTTAACTATCACTAACCTAGCTGCCATTATCAAACTTAGGATCTATTCTTTCTTAACTTCATTTATATCTTTTTTTCAATCAACAGTAATAGCACAATTCTCAGTGAAATGTCTAAATCTATATCTAAAATTTCTCTAATTTCATTAAACACCATAATCCAAATCTTTTGTACATTATTACAATCCCACCACATATGTTTGTAAGTTCCAATCCCTTTCCCACACCTCTAACATAAATTAGAGTATTTTATCATCAATTTGATTTAACTTAACTGGTGTTAAATACCATCTCCATATCACTTTATATCCATGTTCTTTAATTCTAACTGACATATATACTCTTCTATTCCAAATTTTCTTCCATTCCTTGGCTTTTATTTCAGCTACGTCCATTTCCCAAATTGATTTTAAACTTTTTGTCTGATCCCCTAACTCCATTAATATCCTATAAATTTTAGCAATTCTTCCTTTGCTTGTATATTCTTCCTCAATATTGCATTCTTTCATAATTGTTTCAAATTTTAATTGTCTTTTTTATCTTTAAATTTATCCTCCATCTTTATCCATTGTTCTAATTGAATTAAATTTAACCGATTTAATTTGGCCTCTGTCAATAAATAAATAAGTGATCACCTATTTCCCTTAATTCTTTTAATTCAATTTCACTCCATACTGGTTCTTTGCTTTGGGCTATAATATCTGGAACCATCTTTAACTGGTTGCTTATTCTTACCCTCTTCCCTCCATTACAATAAACCTCCAATAATTTCTGCATTTCCTTTAATTCTTGATTATAAAACCTGATTGGAATCATCCAAAACAAAAAAATAATCTTTGGCAGAATTTTTATTTTTGTCACTGCTATTCTTCCAAACCATGATAATTTTCCTTTTCATTATTTTTCTATTTTATCTTTTATAGCCTTTAACTTTTCATAATTTTTCTTCTTTAATGCTTGACTATCTTTTGGGATATCAATTCCTAAGTATCTAACATTGTCTATTATTTTTAATTTATATTTCTCTTCAAATATATCCAATTCTTCACTATTGTGATTATATAACATCATTTCTGATTTTTGCCAGTTAACTTGCAACCCACTATACTTCCCAAATTCCTCTAAATGTAAATATATTCTCTCTATAGCATTTATTGGATCTTGAAATGTTAACAATGTATCATCTACAAATAAATTAATTTTAATTTTCTGACATACTCCAATTCCTTCTATCTGTATATTCTTAATTGCATTTGCCAATACTTCCATCATTAAAGCAAATAATATCGGGGATAAGGGACAACCCTGTCTTGTTCCTCGGCTTAGGGTTATTGTTTCTGTAATACCATCATTTACAATTATTTTGCTGTATTTTCTGAATATAATTGATTTATTACTTTCTTAAACTTTATTCCAAATCCCATCTTCTCTATTAAAATCTTCATTGTTGGCCATTCCACACAGTCAAAGGCTTTAAATATATCTAATGCTAATATGTTTGCCTTTATATTTTGCTTCTCAATGTAATAGTTAATATTTGGTACTCTCCTCACTACATCTGACATTTGTCAACTCTTATAAGCCCACACTGATCATTCTTTATATATTTATCTATAAATTTATTCAATCTATTTACCAATATGTCTGTAAAAATCTTAGCATCTTGATTAATAAGTGATATCAGTCTATAAGATCCAGGTTTTGCTTTATCAGGTTTTGCTATCAGCACTATCAGAGATTGTCTCCAAGAATTTAGAATTGTTTCCCCTTCCATTATTTTACTAAACATCATTTTCATCTTAGGGACTAATATTTTTTAATTTTTTATAATATTCCACACCCAATCCATTAGATACTGGTGCTTTACCTATTTTCAGTTTATTAATCACTTCCAATATCTCCTCTTCTTCTATTCGAGTTTCCATGATTTCTTCTCGAATTTTAAACTTTAAATTCTTTTCTATATATATCTGACTTTCTTTCAAATCTATTTCATTTCCCTTATATATCTTTTCAAAACACCTTTGAAAAATTAAAAGTTTTTCTTTTATCTTGTTGCATCTTTCCCCGTTTTCGTTCTTTATTTCTCCAATTAATTTTTTTGCTTTTTTGACTTGTGTGGCTCTGGCCAACATTTGGGAATTTTTATTAATACTTTCATAAAATTCTCTTTTCAAGTAAATTAGATTTCTTTGAACCCAGTTCCTTTTTAAAGTTGATTTGTGTTGGGGCACCCCATGTTTTCTTGACAGGGACATATATATTCATAGTTTGATAGAGAGAGCTTTCCCAGAACTCTCCCTTTAAGTCTTCAGTAGGATTTGAACCTAGACTGTGACCCAGTCCCCTACTCTGTGGCTCAGGAGAGAACAGTTGGACGACAAGGGCAACAGTTGGGCTAAAGGAAGAGGGCTGTCTGCTGCTCCCCCCCCCTTTCTTTTTCTTGCCCAAAGGAAGCAAATAAACAGGTGGCAAATATGGCAAGGAGGAGGTCTTCATACTAAGACAGATCCTACCAAGGAAGTTTTGTATGTTTGCCTGTTGTGTTGGGCAATCCTAACATCCCATTATAGGGGTAGGCAGCCTTTCCTTTCAGAGAGCCAGTACAGTGGAAGGAAGGGCATCACATGGACATATGTGCATATATGCCCGTACTTGCATACATGGGAGTAGGGTTGATGGGGAAGGGAAACTAAAGCTTCTTCTCCCCTTTCTCAAAATCTAAAAGGCAAAATGTTCTTAGTTTAAGTAAGCTAGAACTACTTGTTTTGATATTAAATATAATTTTGGGGTGTTTTGCTTTATTTTGCAATATTCATGTATTGACAACTGCTATAGCCAATGTCCTCCATAATGCAATTTCTAGACCTTAAATCTGTGATTTTGTGATTTCTAATGAAATGAGTTATTTTTGATTCAGTG